AATATTATTTGTCCGGATCTAGCGGCCCGGGTTCAGTCATTTACCTACCGGAAGGCTTTTTGATTTCGAGCCAAATTTAATCTGGAAAAATTTAAATGAAATATCAATCGCTATCTACTGTCCTCCTGATTATTCTTTCCTCTTCCAGCTCATTATTAATGTTTCAATTTCTAATTCTTCCATATACTGTATACCCTTGCGTTTTAGTGGCTTTACTGACATGATTGGGGTGATACCGATTAAATATATATATATATATATATATATATATATATATATATATATATATATATATATATATATATATATATATATATATATATATATATATATATATATATATATATATATATATATATATATATATATATATATATATATATATATATATATATATATATATATATATATATATATATATATATATATATATATATATATATATATATATATATATATAGTATCATATATATATATATATATATATATATATATATATATATAAGAAATAAATATATATATATATATATATATATATATATATATATATATATATATATATATATATATATATAATGTCATATATATATATATATATATATATATATATATATATATAATATATATATATATATATATATATATATATATATATATATATATATATATATATATATATATATATATATATATGTGTCATTTATTGTATTTTATATATAAATATATATATATATATATAAAAACTGATTTTGCTTACGTGTTCAGTCCATAGTATTATCAGCATCGTTCTGTAGACGCTGATGTTGTTTCAAATCGTTCTGTTCTTCATCTGTCATGTGTTTGTTTAGCATTACTCATGGAAAAACCTTTTTGATGTTTCGATGAGCAAGAGACAAGTTTATCTCTGAAAATGAAAAAAGTGTCGCTTCCCGCTCGACAAACCAGAAGGGAAATGTTTTTTTTGTTTTTTGTTTTTTTGTTTTTTTTTTTTCTTGGCCGATTACTCCTTTCATTTTGTACGGGAGCATTGGATGAAACGAGTTATTTCCCATTCCCTTGTACGATAGGAACCAACTGTCAGCGTATATCCATTTTTTTTCCTGTGACCATTCTGCGGCAACAATAAGTTCTCTTACCCGGTTTGGCAGTGAAGGGTAGCAGCTGACTGCGATTACTACCCTGAGAATAGTGTGACTGGTCGACAGATTTCGAATCACTGGTTTATTTCTATAAGTAATTTTCTAAGTATGACGACCTACTTCTTTGCCCGATACACAAAAATGTAAGCTATATTAATGTTGGCCGAAAAGAAAAAAAAAACAGAAACGGCATTTCTCTAAGGCAGTCGTCTGCAACCTTTTGGAGAAAGCGGGCTAGACAGCTATGCACTATGTCGGAGGAGAGTCATGATATCAAACGTGTTATAATAAATTGTCTCAACCTCAGACCATCCCGTCCAGAAGGCTGCTTTGGTCCGGAGGTTTAAAGGTAAAAAAATAATGAAGTAAATATCATATTATTTGGACAAGGTTCCTTATTTTACTAAAGGAATAAAAGGAGAACAATTAACGCAATCAATAAAACATGCAAATTACTTTATCGGGTTGAACAAAAATCCTTCACGTATTTGCTGACTCCTGCTCTTAGTGTTTCGAGAGAGGTAGGAATCGGAATTTCTCCCGTATCCGTTTGTCATTATGTACCTGGAATTATTGGCCTTTGATAGCAAGGAGGCCAGTATTATCTGGTGTTCCAGTTTCGTACTCTGCAAAGTTAGCTAATAAAAATTAGCTTATGTCCACGATTCGGTTTTTCCAAAGAGATCTATTATGTAATGATCATTTGAATTACTGAGTACGTTTAAAGGCACTTTTCGTCAATTTGTCCTGCTAATTCCGCATGCAATTTTCAAGATAAGCCCTCACGTAGAGTAACAAATTTGGAAATAGACAAAATAACTGCTTTAGTGTCGATTTAGAATTGCACATATTTAATATTTAGATGCCTGTAGAATTATATCGCTGCAAAGTAATTATTCCTTCAATGATTTGATTTATTTATTAAATGGCGTATCGACAAATTTTGGGACATTTTATGCTGGAATTTTATTTTCAGAGGGGTTTTGAAACAATAAAAATATGATTTATGTTATTCTGCTTTCACAATTGAATACATGGTAGATGATTGTCAGGTTTTGTCCATATACACGTTTGTTTGGATATAAATACTAGAGACGGCGATATGTGAGATTTATGCTTTTGTCGTTATGTTGAAGTTATGTTTTGGAATACAGTTTGGTTTCTTTAAGAAATGTTAGGATATTACATGGTTCAATGTCATGAAATTGTTCCTTCATTTTAGTTATTTCGATGATTTTGCTTAGCGACATATCAAACTCTGTCAGTTATTTAATGCCCAAATCTAAATATTTTGATCACATTTTACGGCTTCAGTTTTTGCTGTCAATATATATTGTTATTTTTCTTATCAATTTGGATTTTAATAATTTCATACAGTTTTTTGTTGTTGTTGCTGAGTGGGTGTCCTTATTTGCCCGTGTCAGAGTAAACCTGCGAATAACATCAATTAAGATGTGGTTCCACGTTTTCTCAATCTCCCGATCAGACGCCTTGCTAACGGATTTAGTTTAGTGTCATATCTAGGATTAGTTTTCCTGAATGAGTTCAGTTTCTAATATCAATAGACATATGTATAAATTACCGGTTCAATTGCATTAACATATGTACTTCATAATTCCTGGTATGGAATGAAATTATATCTGTGCAAACACACACACACACATATATATATATATATATATATATATATATATATATATAGATAGATAGATAGATAGATAGATAAATAAAAAACTTGGGAATGAGTTATGTGCTATACGTCCCCAAGAGCATGTAAATAATCGTTCCCTCAACCGCAAACACCAACCAGCTCATAAATAAGAATATTTTTTACTTCCAATTATCATACAAGAAAAATCAATCAGATTTCACTTGCTGATCCAATTGTGCATTGTGTTTAATCGCAAACCGATCTAACTGTATTCCTCGCAGCTTTTCTAATTAATCTACCAGATATATACTTTTGGGAATGTGAACTTTCAGCTGTTGCATTGGCATTAACAACTCAATGTAATATTCTTACAAAATTTAAAATAGTTTAACCACATTCTAGGCCAGCGAATGCTACTGTATTATTAGAATGTATGTTTATTTCCTACCCGAATTTGCACGCTCTATCAACCAAAGCTGCCAACGTAAACCTGTAGACGTAAAATGGAATATTGAATCAAAATTTAACCCAAAATAGAGGCTGCAAATCAGTTGGTATTCAGATATGATTTGTGTTACGTTCCTCTGTCTCTATCAGTTTAGTGATATTTGAGGCATAACTCTTACAATACTTGACTATTATATCACTTCTTTTTCGTGTTAATTAAGAACTTGGACGATCATGGCTATTCACAACTTCGTATGTTTTGTAATTCTTAGCAATTATTTTTAAACATATGTCTTACTTACCTATCAGATATCCATTTGGAGAATCCCCTAGTTAGGCTACTCGATGTTTCCCTCAGTCATTCTTGCCAACGTTATTTCTCGTGTGTATCAAATTCTCCAAAACCTTTCTCCTCATTATGTGCCATCAAAAGGTAAACTGTGCCTTTTTTTTTCATTCTAATTACGTGTCCAATCTGTTTCATTTTTCATTAAATTTCCTCATTGCTCCACCAGTGGAATTCTCAACATCGAAATTTATGAAATAAATAGCTGCCATTACCTACATGCGGTCTATTGTTCTCCTAGTTTTTCTTATTATTATTATTATAATGTTTCGGCTTTCAGTCGCTGTTTGTCCATACAGATAACATTCATGGAATTTCAAATTGAACCCTTTATTTAATCAACGAGGTAGATTGGTTTCGTGATGATGACTACGTCTGGAGATATATCGTTTTTGTTTTTTTGTTTTTTTTTTGTACCGCTCAGTTTTTGTTTGTTTAACAGTATAACTGCTTGTGGACTATTCAGTCGCAAAGTGTAATTTTCTTGTAAGTTTTAAAAAATAAAAATATGATATATATTATATAATGCATTCACAATTTAATACATGTTAGCTGATACTCAGCTTTTGCGCATATACGTGCTTCTGTGGACATAATTACTGGAGTCGGCGATATCTGTCTTTTATGTTGTAGTTTATTTTAAGATATATTTTGGAATACAATTTGAGTTCTTTAAGAAATTTTAGCGTATTACATGGGTCAATATCATGCAAGTGTTTTTTGTTTTTTTTTTCATGATGGCTGATTTTGTTCAGCATTATATCAGTCTATATGGGTTATTTAATCTAAATATTTTGTACGTTCCGCTAAATATATATTTTAAATAATCTTATACTTTCAGGGTTATGGTATTTTTTTATATAGTTTTTGAACTTAAAATATATTGTTAGTATTTTTGCTATAAAAAAATTTTTTTAGATTATTCTAGTGTTGTTTTGTTGGTCATTTTCTTATAAGAATTTACTGTTAATTTTTGTTTGGAGTTTCCCTATTTGTACATCGCTGGGATCCTAACAAGTGCCATTACCACAAGGCAGGTTGGACATGTGAGCAACAAGATATATGGGGTAATTTTACACATCTCAAAACCTACAATGTCCTGATCATAGACCTAGATTCCGGAAGTAGTTGATCGTCATACCCAGGACGATACAGCTCAGTTATTGCTCGCCCTTTTTTCATTGTCCATATATAAACTGACCGGTCAGTCAGTTAAATTCCAATTTAACATGTAAATGCATTCTATCATGATAAGCAGCAGTCTCATCAGTACGCAGATTAGATTTAAATCTCGAAACTCTCCATTCAAAATTGTCTCCCAAGACAATAGACGGAAGGATTAATGCGTAGGCTCGTGAATTTAGTGATATTATTGTGAGATCAAAACTTAGGATGTCTGTACTTGGACTCTATGGCTTACGGCTACATCACCTTGAAGCACCGGATCCCTTACGATCACCAACGTTAAACGCCGTCTAGTCTTGTCGTTACCTTGATGGGTAACCGCTTGAGAATTCTCGGTGCTGTAATCTTGGAGGTACGGTTTGTGTAACGGTATGGAATTGTTAATCGGAGAGCCGAGTTCCAATCCTAGTTGGACATATTATATTCACTTACGCGCAAATAAACTTGTGAAAGGTATGAATCCATCATTTTCCCTTCCAGCTAAGAGAATAAGTATTCAGCGGAGATGTATATGTATATATTTACAATGAAAGATGATAATTGGGGTTAATTTGACTCATATGCGTTAAAATATCCGATTTCTAATCTTTACCTCAGATCTCCCTTTTATCAGATAGGCTAGTCCATATCATACACCGGAAGTTGTCCTGAACTGGAAGATATTATTTTAGAGTATATTCTGGCGCTGTGTATGCGTGGAGATATCTGGACTGTAAACTTAATGTAGAATTCAAGAGCACGAAACAAATCCTGAAAGTTATATTGGAATGGCTCTGGGTTACTGCACTCATCTCTCATCAAAGTAACAAGGCAGAAACCGTCGTATATTATTGGAGAGAATATAAAGAACGCTATGGATCGCCATTGCTCCAAGAAATATCGAAAGTAATGACACTGGGCTGAAAAAGAATTCTTATATTATGTAATAATTTAAGTCCCCAGACATTTGCTACACCTTGTATATAAAGAACTAATGACAAGCAAAATAAACTGACTTAAAGATCTAATTTGTGGTACAGGATTTAGGTAATGGTTTATTAGTAAATAAAAAAAATATAGTAAATTGAAGAATCTTTATAAATAAAAGCCAAAATAAACGGCAATATGAAAAAAAGAAAGAATAGGAAAATATTCTCAACGGCAAACCGGTTCTTAAAAAATTTTTCAAAACAACTCAACCAAAAAATAAAATAATAAAATATCGAGTAACAGACTGTAATGATACGTTCCAATATATCAATAATAAATTGACAAATGTATATTTTTGCTACAATTAGGTGACATTGAGATGTAACAACAATTCATTTTTGTCGATAGAAGAGGTTCTCAACCGGGGTCCATATGACGCTGGGGTTTAATAAAAAAAAAATGTAAATACAAAGTAAACTATTTAAGGTTAACGGTAGAATTTAAATGTTCCATAGAGTTTTTCCACTTCGGAATCATTTTTCATAACATGAGACTTGGGATTTCTAGTTTAATTTAAATTTTATTAAATTACTAAAATATTGTAAACAAAATTCAAAAAAATACATAAAACAAAAAATAAGTTATCGTCTGTTTTACTCTACCGGAAGTTTGACTGTAAATGTTTTTAAAAATAAAAGAATATAATATATATATATATATATATATATATATATATATATATATATATATATATATATATATATATATAAAGTTAAATTATACAAATATTTATAATTTATTTTTTTTCTATTTTAATATATCAATAATAATAATAATAATTTAATATTTCTATAATACAATTCCTCAATTTACCTATTATTAAAAAATAAAAGAAGCTTTTTTTCATCAAAGGGTTATGGGGTTTGTCTCGCCAAAATAAAGAGTAAATGTGATCCATATGTAAAAATAAGTTTGAGATCCATTGGTCGATACATATAAGGATGTCTCGGTTTAAAATACGTTGTTACAAGAACTTTCAGATGAATGTCAGAATGATAGTGATTTTCCAATCGTAGCTTAGATGTGGCACAAGGCCGAAAAGGGGAAACCTGAATGATTTTTCGAACTCACCATCAACTGTGAATAGTTCTAGCGAGCCAAGCTTGCTAACAATTTCAACCTGCCTCGAGGTTAGCTTATTTTCCAAGACGTATTTAAGACCTGGCACACGGCCGAAAGTAAGGGGGTCCCAGTGAGGATCGAATATAAACTTACTGTTATATTCTAATTGTTCTAGCTATGAAACAAGCAAACTATAAACCATTACACTATCGTCAAATTGCCCATGTCAGAATGTGATATGCTCAACACAGAAGACATAAAACCATTTATATATATATATATAATATAATATATATATTTCAAAGTAAAAAGATATTTATATAATATATAAGCGCTGAAGGAAGATTTTGTAATTTCAACAAAAAGATTTGTGTTCCAATGTATCAACTAAATAATAAGCATAATAATGTACTCAAAGAATATCTTTTTTTTCACTTTTTATATAGTATAAGGATCATCCGAAGATGTTTAGTATCTTTATGACTTATAAGCTCTAAATATAATAAAATATATCTTAATGAAAATGATTGCGTTTTATTAATTTAATAATTTTAATATTAATTCAATGTATATAAGAAAGAGATGTCACTAAAGACTACGTGGATAAGAAACTTTTATAATTTATTTTTCCACTGTTATAATTTCAGATCAACAGATTTAGAAATCCATAATTTATTTGCAACTATATAATTTACTATCCAAGTGTCGTCTATTCTGTTTAATGTTTCTTTTCGTTTCGTTATTAATTTGATTCTTCTTGATAGCTGTTTTACAATATTGTCGATCCCAACAAATTTATCTGAGCAGTCAACAAGCTCTAGTCTATAATTTCCCAAACCGAACAGGTGTGTTCCTATCGACAAATGAATGCCCTAGTCATAAGTTTGTTATCTGTCTAGACACTAAGTAATCTTTCAAGCCAAATTCTTCCTCTCTTCGCTTCACATTAAAATATATACATCCAGGCTAATAATAAGTAAAATATTTTGAATCCTACCATATTGGTTCGACCCAATGACTACATATCATGAAAGGAGATGTAATTGGCTTTATTCACACATAACTGCGGAAAAGTTCCGGCTTCTTTGTGCGTAGCCGAGAGCGTTCTCCTGTATAAATAATTATGATAATTTAATGATGGAGATTATAAATATTGTGTCATTTATTAAGTCCAGCTAAAGTTTGACAATTTTAGTAGAATAACGTTATATTTTTACTTACATCCGGTAATATAATATATATTTCTAAACGTATTATATACATCATATTGAATATATATATATATATATATATAATAATAAGATAATAGTTTTAAGATATGCTATGTTTAAAGGTAAAAGATTTCAATATCAGAGACATACATGTGCAAATATAAAAGAGAATACTAATGTCAACACCCAGTGGTGAGATATTGTTTCATATACATTCAAATATATATATATATATATATATATATATATATATATATATATATATATATATATATCTTACTTATTATGTGTGTGTGTGTGTGTGTGTGTGTGTGTCTGTAACGTTTATATATTGGATCGATTTCCTACATTTTTCAACTGATTTCAACAAAACTTCACAGGACTACATAAAATTACCTTTTGGTGGTTCTCTGCGCCAAAAATGGGAAAAATATAATTGTTTTTGCACAAAATCAATTTGAAAACACGATTAAGAGACATCGTGAAAATGGAAGGGGACAACTCACATCAGGTTGTTTTGTGTGTGGGTTCCTTTAAATATGGGAGCGGATTTCCTATATTTTTCAGCCGATAAAACAAAACTTCACTTTTTTTTTTTTTTGGCAGGTAGTGTTTCTTATTCTCTTGCACACTTTTTTTTCTTTATTTTTAACATTCAGAATGCTTTAAAATTCCATTTACAAGACAATTATTTATAATAAAATTCTATTCAATTGGGAGACTCATAACGATTGAAAACAATGTTTTTTTGTTTGAGTTTGGGTTTGACCAATTCGTAAAAAAAAAAAAAAAAAAAAATAATTAAGACATGCGTGTCCATCAACCTTAAACAATAATCTAACGATCTCTACTGATTGTACGAATACAAACATCGGATAAATTCTTTATCTTTAGGAAAGATAATGAAATCTAAACATACACAAGTCCTAACTAAAAAAAATAATAACCGGAATGGGAAACTACTTTAAATACACATGGTGTCCATTTTTTTTTACTGTATTCAATAAGTAAAAATCATAAATTGTAAAAGATTATTATTACAGAAAGGCTACTAAATGAATAAGATTTGTTAGATCATAATTAATAAACCCAAATAAAGTTAATATTTTTGTATTAGAAACAATGAGTGAAAAATATATTCAAATCAGAATTCTAATTATGAATCACCACAAGCAAAATATGCAATTTTTTTACTGTATTCAATAAGTAAAAATCATAAATTGTAAAACTAAAAAGATTACAGAAAGGCTACCTACATTTTTCAACCGATTTCAACAAAACTTCACTTTTTTTTTTTTGGCATGTAGTGTTTCTTATTGTCTTGCACACTTTTTCTTTATTTTTACATTCAGAATGCTTTAAAAATTCCATTTACAAGACAATTGTTTATAAAAAAATTCTATTCAATCGGGGAGACTCATAACGATTGAAAACAATGTTTTTTTGAGTTTGGGTTTGACCAATTCAACAAAAAAAAAAAAAAAAAAAAAAAAACTAATTAAGACATGCGTGTCCGTCAACCTTAAACAATAATCTTTGTCAATTTTATTTTTCAGTCTTTATGATGGTGGATACTTGATCTATCTCTTACTGTTATATCCCCGAGCAACGCCAGGCTCTACTGCTAGTATATATATGCATATATATATATATATATATATATATATATATATATTAATACAATTTTATAATATAAGAAACTATACTGCTCAAAAAAAACCTTCGGTGTCTTGATTTGCAAATACACAAGCCAACACCAAAGGGGAAAAAGGGTATAAAAAAAGAAAGAACTAAGAACATGTACGTTAACCGAAAATAATCGTCTAGCATACGAGTTCAAGGCCCAAAGAAAAAAAAACCCGATGCGAGTACCCAAAATAAGTAAATAAAGAGTTCAATACAATGAGTAGAGAAGACCTAGTTAAACCTACCAAGGTTTTCACATAAGCGGATCGTCAGGGAAGGCCGGCTTTGGTGAAACCTTGGTAAGTTTGTCTGGCTCTGTGTGTGTGTGTATGTGTGTTTATATATATATATATATATATATATATATATATATATATATATATATATATATATGTGTGTGTGTGTATTTTATGTGTG